CAAAGGAGCCACACGCTACGTTTAACATTTCAAAAAAATGTTATTTTCCAACTGAGAATCGTATTTTAATTGGTGAATTGCAGGTATATAATCATCTACAGTTATTGTACGTTATTTCTAATTTCTATTTAACTCAGAGTTTTTAAGAGTGTTGGGATGTTGCGTTTTTTCTTTTTCTAGCAGTTAAAATTTTCTATGTTATGTCTGTGACAGTGCCATTTTCGTAAGTTTTGTAATGGTTGCTTGTTGAACATAAAAAGAGTTACATGTTGCGTGCGCCTGAAATTATATTCATCAGAGAACGTCGTTAATAGTTTCACGAGTTTTATGCTAAATTTTGTTTCTGTTGTAAATTCTGTAAGTAGATTGGCATCATCAGAGTACGATTTTTCTTACGTCTATTCATTTTTGTATTTTCCAAAGTTTCTGTTTCAGGATTCAAAAGCAGTTGGTCGATACATATCTGAATTTTCACAGAATCAGTTTATTGAATTGGCAACTAATTTCCATTTTCTTCTTTTCCTTCTCAATAATGATATAGTAAAGTTTTCGAAGGTTAGTAGCCTGTTGTGTTCCTCGTTCTGAAATGGACGCAGCATAAGCTTATACTCATAAACTGTACCTTCGACAATATCAAGTCAAAATGTAAGACATAATAGCATCATCAGTTAAGGAAATTATATTATGATGACATGACTTACGGGATAAATTTCAGGAAGAAATAAAATCTCTTTGCGACATAGTTCAACAGCAAGACCGAGGTAAAGCGATGGAATGGGCATCTGGAAGTATCAATTGGGCAACATTGTCAACATTATGCCTTCATTCAGTGCAAGGTGAAAGTGCCGGTTTTCAGCAAGTCTTTAAGAATATTTCAGAAAGTTATTTAATGGTAACAGAAAAAAGAAAACTAGTAGAATTTTCATTTTACTTAGATAATTAAAAGTCTGTCACACTAAAACTGTAGCTAATTATGTTGCTAATTGTAATTAACATTAATGTCTTTTAGAGTCATCAGCTACCGAATCAAGCTCTAAATGGTCTTGTAAGCATTGTACTTTTGAAAATTCGGTGGGTCGGACAGACTGCTCTATGTGTGGTCTTCCTCGATCAGAAACCTGAAGTTTAATTTGTAATTCACTTTATACATCCCTCTCTGGGAATACAAATTCATTATATTGTGAGCTTTCAAAGAGCGTTACTTTTGTCTGTTTTACAGTTGTACTGAGTTGGTTTCCGTACAGCTCAATTCTTTGCCAAATTTGTTATCCCTTTACTTGTCAAGACGTATTTTTCTTTTTCTTTTTTTTTAGCTGACATTCTTTTTACTTCAGTTTGATTGCTATTATTGTTTGAATAAGAAGTAATTCAAACAGGGTTGATTTTTTTTTTTTCTTTTTTGGAAGGTTTGGTGCTGTAATGCACAAGATTCTTACTATATTAAAGAATGCGCTTTAAGGGTCTTGTTTTTATAATATATTAAACGGTGAAGTAGTTATTTATCTCTTCTTTTTGTTTATGTTGTACTTTTTATCATAATTTCTAAACATTGGCTTGCACCTGTTGTCTTAAATATATCTTTGCAATGTAAATGAACTTGAAAAAGTAAATATCTATTTGGAACGGTGAATCAATAAATTTTGTGAAGTCTTATCTACAGAAGTAAGAATTTCAGGAAATTAGCAGTAGATTGGATATTCATATTTATTCTCATAGTATATAAGATTGAAATTAATGCACAGATGTAACAAATCATTAATTCAAGTATTTTTATTGCGTGATATTTCTTCATTTATTGTGTTTTTTTATTTTGGGGCACCTTTCGTTATATTTCTCAGAAGTAATGCATTCAAAAGTTACCAAAAATTACCAAATATATTATTGCTTCAAATATCAAACTCTGAAATTTCTCGTACATTTTTAAAAACTGTGTTTCTTTGCATCTAATTCCATTTGACGTAAGAAAAGTTCAATTAGTCAAATGCAGTTTATGAATAAATTAATTTCTTAGGAAAATTTTATGAACAAAATATTAGCAATGAAGTGAACGGATATTACGGATAAAACATTAAAAAAAAAAAGTGATATGCAATTGAAAGACGAGTTATAAGAGACCGAATAAAGAATATGATTGATGAGTGTGATCAATATAGATTGTCACCACTCGTATATTGTCATCTTCATCCATCTCTCTGAATTGTATAGAGAAAGAAGGAATAAAGATGAAAATGAAGAGGAATGATGATGATCTGCAATCATTAATGTCATGCATGATGCATGTTCACTACTACTACTTCTGCTTTTTCTTCTTCTTGTGGTACATTTTTGGTGACACTATTAATACCTTTGCATTTACTACCTTTGATGACTATTCATTGATATGTAGACCAGGTTATCGAGTATCTAAGTTACAGCGATCTCCAAAATATAATGGAAAATTGGGCTCATTAGTAGTACAATGTGAACTTATTGAACCAAATACACAATTGGTACTTTTTGGAATCTTTTTTTTTGTCTTTAGAATTAAGAAATTGGTTTATTCCAACATAATTGAATGAAAGACATTTACTTTTCTATGATTGTTTATTTACTAAGTTAAATATCTATTATAAGTGAATTCGCTACCCAGTAGGCATCCTGAATTAAACTATCAGTTATCGGTATAATTCATTTATAAATAGTTAATAAATAGTTGGATTGAATAAATATGAATTCTGTGAGAATTAATTAGCATTTATTAACGTAGACATTATTATATCTTAGCATCTCAGTAGCATTGTGAATTAATTTATTGTGTTTATTTCTTTTAACATTACATTTAAGGTTAAGTGCGGTTCATTACAAAGTGCACCTCAATGTTCCGGTATACTGGAAGGTTGCCCAGGGCAGACATGGCTTGCAGGCTTCAATCTTTACCTTATTGAAAATCCAGCAAAAGTTATGCTGTAAGCTATCATCAATTCATTTCATGAAATATCTCAAAAAATTAAGATCTAATTTCCTAGAAAATGCTAGGATATGATTAAAACCTATCCATTTCTTTTCCAAATTAATCAAAAGTATTTTATCCATTGAAAAGAAAAAGCATGAAAATGAATTTTGCTAAATCTTTGCTATACAAAAAAGAAGTAAACAAAAAAAATAAAATAAAATAAATTTTCCAAGTAGCACATCGATGAACTTTCAGTATTTCTCTTTGTAAAATCTATGATCAAAATAAATCCAATCTGTCTTAATAGTTTTTTTTAGTAAATTAAAATTGTAGAGCCACAAAATGCATCCTATACTTGATGTTTCTGTTTTTTAAAAACACAGTTTAGAAAATATTGCTTTATGATAGATAAAAAAAAAAAAAATGGCTTCTCCTTCCCTATCTCATCACTAAACATAAACCAAAATGCTATTTGTTCAATTGTAAACAATTCATTTCATCATCAAAGTTTTTTTTTTTCAGTTGGGATCCAATATGTTGTACATCAAAAAACATAATTATTGATGAGAATGCTTGTATAAACGATCGTATTAATCAACCAAATGAAAATTTTGAACATGAAATAGCCAACGACCTAATCTACAGAGGATTGCAGTGTTGGCATCAGTACAATGATAACAATACATTGTTTGACATAATCTGGAAAATGGAAATTTGTCCCTTCAGTTCATCAATGGGAACATTACACAAAATGCAAGGTTTACTTTATCCAGATGTTCCTGTATTATTTATTTAATTAAAATAACTATTTTCATCTCATTTCCTTTTTCCAGAAATCCAATATCACGAATATTTTGTAAATATTTCGTATTAATGAACATCACTATAAATGCCTATATTTAGCAGAATTTATAATGATTAGATGAATAATAGATAATGAGACAAAAATAATCCTCAAAAAATTTGATTTAACAAAACTACATGTATCTAGATATGAATAGGATCACTTATAGAATTATCTATATGCCGCTTCCGCTATACATAGATCTGAAAGCATTACTCTCATATACAGATGCCTGGAATAAATCAACTTTTTTTTCAAAAACAATACTATTTTTAGATTGTCCGGAATGCGAATGTGATTGTGGTAAATCACAATGCCCAGACAGCAGCTATCCCTCCAAACTGATTCACAAACATCCTGAAAGTCATTCATGCCAATGTCGATGTGATTGCATCACTGTCTGTTAAAAAAATGGATCCTATATCACTATGCGTACGACATAATATTAAACTTGAATTTAATTTCTTGATTTCTTATTTCTATAGTTTTAGAGAGCTTCAACTGTTTCGATTCACACATTTCATTGTATGTAGTCTACCGATTTTGTGTATCATGTTTCACCAATTTGTGTTTCGTTTTTGTTTTATACTTTTAATGAATATATATACTCAAGACCAAAACATTCTATTAAAAAAAAAATTAATTACAAAACGACATAACAAGTAAATTACCGCCGAACTGCCTATTCTGTAAACTAATAAGAAAAAAAACTCCCTCAAAACGAATGATGTAATCGAATCTTTAAAAAAAGAAAATTCTACTCCTTCTCCCTCTTCTCTCTCTAAACTTAATTAATTTCACCGAAAATTAAAAAATTTCCAAATTTTTTTCTGAAGAAGCGGTCAGGGAATAGTGAAAATAAACGAAATAATACATAAAGTCTATGTGACTAACTAATCAGGGGATAAGTAGTGGACTCGAAACTTAGTCAAAGAGGAATACAGCTCGAATGAACAAAAAGATTTTAGGATACATCAAATTTATGAAATATTTAAGACTGTCCAAGCTTTTATTCACTTTATTCATTTTCTCCCTAAATTTATTCATTCTGTAAGTATATTCTAAAGGTGATAGGCAACATTCCTCACTTATGACAAACACTACTTCAAAATCCACTGCAGCATCTTAAAATTAAGAAAGTGATTAGTTGAACTTTGTTTAAATAAATAATTCAACTGAACACAAAGCAAATCGAGCGAGATCTGCTACTGACGAGTTTCAATTTTACCACTTCCCATTGGAATTTGTAGCAGAAGGTGTGCCAGTGCCAGCATTACTGCTATTATTGCTCAGAGTACTCCAAAAAGCTTGCCACGCTGCATCCATCATATCCGGATTCACATTCATCTTGTTCAAATTCAGTGCATCCAGCCCAGATGCTAATGCTTGGCTTGTACCTGAACGTGCCGGTGTCGAATAACGGGGAGAATTGGAATAACCAGGTGAAAAACGATTCGATGCGCGTGCATCCGAAGAACGATAAGTATTAGCACGCCAATTATCCACTGAGCGAGATACCATGGGATCGTACGGATAAGATGTCTAGAATTTCACCTTTTATCATTCCAAGTAGAAATTTAAAAAACGAATGACAATTAAATTACTGTCGCAGTTACATTCTCGACAATAAAGCGTTCACTAACGTAATCGGGACTTTTGAAGCTAACAGTTTCCGGGGAATAGCCATATTTGTCAGAAAATCTGCGCGAATGTCGTCCTTGACTTGGCAATCCATACGAAGCATTTTGACCGTATCGTGGAGAAAAGTCTGATTCACGTGGTGCCGCTGCACTTACTGCTACTGATGAGCCATCAATAATGAAGTCTCCCTGTCTTAAAATTAGAGAAATCAAGACCAAATACAAGTATTGAAAGTAATAAGCAAACCAAAGTTTTTCAAATTCCTCAACACTTAACTAAGAAACTAATCACTAACATTTTAACGAGTAAGAGTGGTATACAAATTAGATTAACTTAATTTGTGTGAAATCAACATATGGTTTGTAAGTGCTTATCTTTCAATAGTTACTATGATGGCTTTACCAAATCAAGATAGTTTTTAAGATAAATTCAATTCGATGTAATAAAAACAAAAATATTTTACTACTTATCTACTTACCTCATTAGTTCTTTGGCGACCGCAGGACTCGAAAAGTTGACAAAAGCGAATGATCGGAATGGACGTGGAATGAAAACATCTGTTACCTATTAAAAAACAAAAATTTTCATAGTCTGTTGTTATGTAAAAAGGCAAAATAACAAAAAAAGCAAACGATAGGAAAAAGAATTTCCAATATATCTTTACCGAAATCTTCCATAAAATAACTTACAAAAGCATTTGGATCAATTTTAGTAGCCTCGCCATTGAAGAATTTTCGGAGTGTATCGACAGTAGTCTTTTCCTGTACGCGACCCACAAATATGCGAGTTACTATTGGTGATCCTGTATCTCCCTATAATTCCAGCTTTTTTACTCGAAATCAGTTCCGTATATGTCTAAACCTCTGATCAGTAATGGTGGCAAAATGCAAATTGCGAACAACGTCAATAACCTAAGGATATATTTTTTAAAAACTTATTGATTTCTTATCCAAAAGCAGCTTCCGGATAAAAAAAAGCTTGCACTGAATAATAAAATCAACGCCAAATCGAACTAATTTTCTATACAGTAAGAAAATCTTTATACTAAATGAACACACAAAATGTACTGATTTAAAAATAGCTCTGTCGACAGAATAACTTCAGCGTGTAAGCTACAACGTTCATATCTCAGTGGCAAGAGATATGCCAAGAAAAGTTTGAACGTATTACTAAAAATAATCACCTTCGAAAGTGGAATCCTCACTTGACATCTACGTCCATCAATTTCATGCGTTTGCTGCGTGAGGATGCGTTGTTGGGCATCAAAGTCAGCCATTCGCACAAATCCAAAACCTTTTGACGCACCACTAGGATCAGTTTTCAACTAAAAAACTTTGCTGGTAAATCTGATATTCCTTAAATTTTATGAAACTCTGCAGAAAGCATAAAATTAGAGAAGCAAAATCCATGAAACCCAAAAAACAAACTCAAGCAACTCGCAAATGTCAAAGAAATTTGAAAATGTTCACAATCAAACGTTTTTTTTACACAGATTCAAGACAATTAACATCATTCCGCAACTCGAAAATCCCTATCAAACTCATCATTTCAACATATATGGAGTATTGATGAAAAAGAGAAAGAAAAAAGGTCCCACTGCAAGGATGCATTTTTTGTTAAAAGTAGCATTAGCTTACATCAAAAAGGACGACTTCGCCGAAATTTTCGAAATATGCCTTGCATGTTTCAGCAGATGTTTTGAATGGCAATCCGAGGACAATCAAATCAATACACGCTTTCTCGCCACTTGGATCCTCGATACGCTTTTGCTTAGCGGTAAACTGTCCCCCGCGTCCCCCTTGCGAATCTTCGGAATCGCCCTCTTGCTCACACTCATCCATCATCTTCTTGCGCTTCGTGTTCTGATCACCTGCACACCACACACTGATTGTTTAGACGATGAACGTAACACACTCACCCCTCTTCCCCTCCTACATATATGGAAGCTATCAATTCAACATATTTACTTCTTTAATTTGAAGATTTCATTTTTGATGCTTTTCAGATGCAAACTACAATTAATGCTTGCACAAAAAAAAAATTAGAGTTTGTGCTTGTGCAACTGATTTCTCTCTACAATGCTCACCCGTTCTTGATAACAGTTCCTATACTACATTTCCTTCGGAAGCAAACTGAGCATCTAAACTTGATACACTACTGCTCATTAAATTTAAAGTAATTCCCCAGTATCATTTGAATTTCTACATGAAGTAACACCTCTTATACTATTCATATCAGGCACTATCAGGTAAACACTCCGCATTTAAAGTCATCACTCATAACGCTTGGGCAATTTCACCTTCACTTCCAACGTCACCGCTCCAAAATAACGAGTTGATATCAAACCACAGCATTCCAATCTAGCACTACATAATCACTTTTATCATTTCACATATATCCTTTGACAAACAAAGAGCAATAATCCTTCATCAGCATTCACTAATAATAACTGATTCTGTGTTCTCTTAAGAAAACTATTGATTTCGCTAACTCTGACATCATAATCACCAAAAATCTTTAAAAATGATATTGCAGAACTGATACCTGAACCACGGTGAGGATAGATGACAATAAATGTCTTATTCTTCCAGCCATCGGGAGGTGCAAGAAAACGCGTCCCCTGTGGATCCATCCTGTAATAAGATCTAAATAAATCACCAGAATTAGGAATTTCAGATCATCAGCTAACTGATTTGAAGAAAACTTTCATACGTAAACGGGACAATTTTATTTTGTAAATTTGTCAGGGGTAGCAGTTATAAAAGAGATTAGGGATAAGCTTTAATATCATGACAGTTATCATATTTCAGAATCCAAAAAAAAAAAACGTCAAAATATGAACTTACAGCAAAGCCCGACTAGCTCCTGTTATAGAATTTTTATATTTTAATCCATGTGCACCAGGGAATGCATGAACCAAAGTGTTTAAACTCAATGAACAATCTTCTGGTAATAAGGGAAGCTCTAAGCGTTCGCTCTCCTCCGTTTCTGATACGACCACATATTCCACAGACTCATTGCTTTCTTCCTTTAATTAATTTAAAAACCCTTCAAAAATCAATGCAAAGCCTAAGTATGTAGCTGCTCTGTTACATATAAACAATTGAATAGATTAGCTTCAAGTAAGAGTACTAACACTGGTTGATATATATAAACCAAATATCAGTTAAATATTTCTAATTGAAATATAAAAATGTCTTGGATGAGATGAATTAGTTGCATATATATTTGTCTTGAACAGAATGATACGAAATCAGCCAAAAATGCGTGCAAATTCAAAAGTGAAACTTTTCTGGTTACAAACTCATAACAACAGTAAAATTACAAAACTTGGGACAATAGTCGGTATAATTCCATCCATTAAGAGATGAAAGGACATCATCTAGTTAAGAGAGAGGTAGAAAAAAAGATACGCTTACATTGCTATTTTTTGATTCGTTTATTATTCCTTCTTCATTTTTACAGTTGACAGATACCAATTCGGATGTCATCCTGTCAATCAATTCTCACAAATGATCCTGAGAAAAACAAAATATACAACACAAAATAGTAACATAATAAGAGAATCAAATGATATACGCATTGAATGAATACATGCTAAGAGTAATTTAGAAAATAAACTATTAGCTATAGGCGAAATTGATGTTAAACAAAGCTATTCGCTAAAATTGGTTCAGATTTGTCAACACGATGCTGTCAACTCATACTCCCACATAGAAAGTGTCCTCTACTGTAATCACATCCTCCCCTCCTCCCCCTCCCCCTCTCCCTGCCTCCCCGCCCCCCCACCCTTCACAAACACACTACAACCAACCATCCTAGGTGCAATTGCAAAACCATGACAACAAATTACAGCAGAGTTTCGTTGAGCGACAATGACCAATACTGCACCACAAAATTTGGTCACTTTGAAAACCAAAATAAGCCTGAAGGCTTCCCTACACCGAACATTATGATATCATCGGTTTTAATTTCATTTTAAAAGATTGGAAGTTTTTTTTTTTTTTTTTTGCAAGACAGAAGGTTTTCTTATTAATGCTATAATACTTTCTATCTTAAAAGAAAATGTTGTAAAATATGTACAGCAAGCAAAACAGTGCTAAATGATAAGTACTAAGTTAAGTTAAAACTATACTTCCATATCATATGAGATCTTATCACCTCTTTGCATCTTTATTGCTCACCAACAAATGTATATTAAATGGTAGCAATTTGTTGGCAATTTATTCGTCCAGTATGTATCAGAGTATAACATTTATTAAAATGAAATAAAAATAAATTCACCATGAATGTCATTAAGAGCGTATTAATTAAGGCTTAGTGTTGGAGTATAATCTAAGGAAAAAGCAACCAATAAATATTTTCGTCGCGATACAGTCAAAGTTACGCATCATGGTTTTTTCATTTCATTTTTTGAGAAAAGACTGTTGAACTTTTAGATTTTGCGGAGTCTTCGGTATTTGGAAGGTTTGGTTGAAAGAGATGATGTAGAGGGAGTTTTTACAAAGAGTTATTATTACAAATCATGCTTTAAATACTTCAACAAATATTTCAAGTTAATGATTAATGTCTAGCAGTGGAATATCTGCACTGGCTGAATCTCAAAATTATCAGTCATGTAACTCACGCAATTTCAGGGAGAAATGAATTCACCATCAGACGATGGACAATATACAGACACTGATAAAGAGGAAGGTGTTATCGATGATGATAGGAAGAGCTCAGGTTAGTCATTTTATATGCATATGCAAATGAAGTTTAGGTTGTTGTTTTGCTGTTTGGTTGTGCGGATGCATTTTACCTCATGAAATGTCTCTCTGTGAAGTTTTTTTGGTGAAGTTTGAATGCGACAAGAATTGTAGTCTAGAGGTAAATAATATAAACATTGGATTAAATAGTGTTCAATGTTACACATATTTTTAGAAGGTAGCACTTCTCTTGAGCGACAACCTGTTTCTTGTAATAATTTGGATCCGAATGATCATAATATAGAAGTAGAAAAAGGACATCAGGAACATTCATCAACCTCATCGAGTGATGTTGGTTAGTTTACTATCATCAGTTTATTAAAGCAAAATTTTTGCTACTCACTTCTGTTCATTCCTATGACAGCATGTCTAAAACTCACTGCGAAACTAGCATATATTGCGTAGCATTATATATAATGTTGCGTAATATGTCTTCGTATCTGATTTATCCATTGAAACCTGTCTAGAAACTTCATCTGTAGAAACCGCCTTCTCTGAATTCTCTTCCAGAAGGCGAAGAAGCTCGATTGCGCCAAAAGCTGTTGGAAAGGCGTAATGTGCTAAGCAGTTCTTCAGTGTTGAAGCGTGAAGTCATCGAAGTGGAACATGGTAGTACATCATCGGTTTCCGTTACAATCACCAATGTCGATAAGAAATTAAAATCAAAAATACGTTCAATATCTCCTAAAACGAAAAAGTCATCCAAACTAACGTCTAATGTAAATGGTTCAAGTGATGATGAAGAGATGTTTTCTATTCAGCCCAAAGAATCGGTATGTTGCAGCATATGTGATAGCAAATGTTGCATAATACAATAGTCTTCAGTTTTTGCTTGAATTTGTTAATCTTAGTCTTAAAACTTGTATTATTTTTTTCTTTTTCACTTCTTATTCTCCAAATAATCTGTGCATGCTCTCTTTATTTTATCTTTATTTTTTTTTTTTTTTGCGTTGGTGAACGGTAGGTTTTTTTCTTAAGGAATCTGTTATAATTGTTTTCTTTTTTTTTTTTTCACTGAATCTTATAATTGATAAGCAACTCATGTTGTATATTAACATATGCTCCTCATCTGAACTAAATATTGAATTTATTATTTGTTTTTTTTTTGGGTACTATAATCTGTATTATAATTTATTTTTCTACTGTATATTGTTTTTCCTGTATTTTTTTTTCTGTTTATATCTCCTTACAGGTTGTAAAACAGCGCAGTCATTCCGCCCGCCCTCATGAATATAGGGAACGGGAACGTGGAGTATCTGGTGATAAAATTAAAAAGCAGGAAAAAACAAGGGATGAAAAACATTGGCACAAGGAACGGAAACATGATAAGCATGCGCATGGAGATTATGCCAGCAGAGATTATGATTCTCGTGAGGTAATCTTTCTTGTTTTTATGACCGACCGCTCATTGTTCGAGGTATATATTTTTCAAATTCACTATTTCAGTCTCATAAACGTCACGTCTCTGGCAAACATCAACAGCCGCGAGAACATGAGTCACGGCTTGCTGGACGTGTAGTTTTACCTGACTCAAAATCAATACAGAAACCTTCATCCATGAAAATGTCTTACAAAGAACGTGAAAATCACAGTGAATCCAAATTAGAACGATCGCGAAATGATTTTCATGCAAAAGATGCAAACAAAAGGTTTTTTTAAATTCTTCTCTTCATTTCTTTTTGACAATTATGATTGCAAGTTTTTACAGTCAGCGAAACTCGATTACTTCAAAAAAATGTCAGTTTGAATTTTCTAAGTGTTTTGTACAAGGAAGCATGAAATGAAAGGCGAAGTAGAAAAAAAAAGTAAAAAAAGTTCGTCTAAATGACGAAAGGTTTGATGATTTGTTCAAATGTTCATCTAGTATACTAACTAGTATTTAAGTTGCAGCTTTAAGGAATGATTTTTTATATTATTGTGCTAACTTAAAACGTCTGAACTTCTCTTAAATGAAAACTGTCAAATGCATTTTATGATTGCATATGTCGTTTTCAGCCGATCTCCACGTAAACGTGAAGCTAACACAAGTCCTAAACGGGGTGGTGCTACTCTAGAATCAGAATTACCATCAAAGAAACTGCATATAGAAAAAGCTGATGACACCGGAATGGGTTTGTGTTTTCTTGAACATTTTAGATTTTTGAAGTTCCAAATCTGTTAGAATTTGCAGAGTCTGAACGTCTCGCTTAATATCAGGTTATTATTTAGAGATAACAAGCGTCAGTGATAATGCAGAAAAAACAGTGCCTGATGTGCATGCTGAAGGACACAATAATAAATTTGATCAAACGATTAGTTCAGATGAAATGCACGACGAACAACCATCGATTTCACAAAAAGGTTTTTTCCAGTGTGAAAATTCAGTTTTTCAACTGAATCAAATTTTTTTTTTTTTTTTACTGGAACACAAAATGTTATTTGAGTTTCACTTTTATTTTTTAGCTACGCCAATGGGTCCATCAAAGTACTCGAAGTTTGATAGTGATCCAGAAGATGAACAGGAAGAAAAAAATGAAACCAAACTTTCTGATGCAAAAGACAAGATAGAAATGGTTGTAGATAGTGCTTCAGGTATTTTAGTTTGTGTGCTTGGCATAAAATATTACTCATTATAAAAGTCAGAAAACACAATCTTCTACAATCGCAAACATGCTTTTTACAAACAGCTGTTTAGATGCGGAAAGTGATGTAATTTTGCGCGATTTGGATGAGGATAGCATAGATTTGCTCGACCTTGATGAGGAACGGATGGCTAGTTTATCTCCTGAAACACGGGCTAGGTAACGCGTTTCTATGCATTTAAACAATTTGCGCAATAGATTTTTTTGATGTTTTTCCATTCTTGAAAAACTAATAGTTTAATACACAGTATATTTTACTATATATAATACATAATAGTATATTTTAGACTTGAAGACGAACAGCAAAAGAGACTAATAGCTAAGCTGCCCATTTATTATCCTGGTATTAGTGGGTGTCGAAATGTTGCTGAATTTGAATGTTTGAATCGCATTGAGGAGGGAACTTTTGGTGTTGTTTATCGTGCTAAGGAGAAAAAAACAGGTTGAAACTAATATTTTTTGGTAGTTTTATATTTTTGATTTCCAGATTTCTTATTGCACAAATTTTTTTCAATCTATAACTTTTTCATTCTCTATGTTTAGATGAAATAGTTGCACTAAAACGTTTAAAGATGGAAAAAGAAAAGGAAGGCTTCCCAATTACATCGCTTCGTGAAATTAATATGCTTCTGAAAGCAGGCAATCATCCAAATATTGTCAATGTTCGAGTAAGTTAACCTTAGTATTAACCTTTTAAACTTTCTGTACGTGTGTGTGATTTCAAACTCGTCATATTTTTGTTGTTACAGGAAATAGTAATTGGTTCAAATATGGATAAAATTTATTTGGTCATGGAATATGTTGAACATGATATGAAAAGCCTCATGGACACTATGCATTCGCGTGGAAAGCGTTTCAGGACGGGTAAGTTTCTTGAAAGCATCATTTCTACTTTTTTTTTTTGAGATTTAGAGAATCAATAGACAATAGTAGACAGTAAATTTAAAAAGCATTTTTCCGTTAATTAGATCTGGATTAGCCATACATTAAACAATTAACTACATGTCACTTTTGCTAGTGCAGTTTTTAATTCATTTGATTTTTAACCGTATCAAATGATAGCTGTTCTGAGTAGTCCACACACTTTTCGGATTAGTTATTTTGTCTTTTTTACATCCCACT